CGGTCCGGAGCCAATGGCAGCTGGCGCAGAGTTCAAGCCTGCCCACCGTGAGCACGTGCATGACGCGACCAATGGAGGTGCGCCTAATTCGTTTCGGAGGCGACCTTCCTCCCGCCCTCAGGCATTCTGACAGCGGGCTCGCGCCTGAAACGTCAAAGCTGGAGAGCAACGACTCCCGTGGTATTGTTAGCGGGCACACGCCCAGGCGGGCGAAGCAGACCCCTCCGTGGCCCCCCTCCCACTCAGAAGGCGCAAACCTCGGAATGGAATAGTTGGGATTGGAATTCCTTTTGCCTTTGAGCCGACCAATGGGAACTTGCGTTCGTTCCCTCCACCATTTACCTGCCCAATGGGAGTCCTTTCTATCGCACTCCACCCTTCAGCACATGTATGGCGCGCCTTCCTGCTTCGCCCAGTGGATGGGTCAGAGGCTCTTCTTCTTCTTCTTCTTCTTCTTCTTCTTCTTCTTCTTCTTCTTCTTCTTCTTCTTCTTCTTCTTCAACTGAACCACCTTCGCCCACCCTCTGCTCCTGACCTGGCCAATGTGCAGTCACAATCACGACTTTTGCCCTTGGCCTAAGGAGGGCATTACAACTGGGGCCAAAAGGACGCCAGGGGCTGTCTTCTCACCCCGTCCAGTTCTTACCCCAAGCTTGGACTGAAAGCCCATCTCATAAATTCTTGGGAGAAAGAATACACTGAATGTCGATAGCGTTGTGCAGTGTAGACCCTTGATAGAGAAGAGTGAGCATTATTGATATGGAGCATAAAGTATCGGAGGCTGTCTTGTATGTTTGTAACATTATCATAGGCAATAGAATAAGGCTGAGTAGCAGTGTTTGTGTTTACCTGTAAGATTGCCAGGTTTCAGGGCAGCAACTGGAGTTTCAAAAAGCTGCTCTGTTTTAGCAGGCAAGAGCACTGTCAGTTCTTACGTGTTGTGAAGTCAGAAACAACTTACAGTGAACCTAATAGGACGTTCAAGATAAGAGATATTTAAGGAGAGGCTTTACCAGTTCTAATTGTCCAGTGAGTTTCTGTGGCCGAGGAGGGTATCAGGCCTGAGTGTCATGAGTACTAGTCTGTCACTCTATCAAGTACACCACACTGGGTGTCCTAGCACTAGGATAGGATATACAGGCTTTTGTTTTGTTTTGTTTTTGCGGAAGATGGTTTTAAAGCCTGGGCACCCAAAGCCATCTATTCCTATCTGGTGCAAGGGTTCACTGGCCCAGTGTGAGGGTGCTTATATGTGGATTGTTCTTCGACGACATCACCACACCAAATAGTGGGGAGGAAGAAGAGGTGGATTGCAAAATGCTATGGATGCTTAAAGAAATGTACGTGCCATAGCATTTGATCGCCCTCATGCATAATTCTGGACAAGAAGCTCTTGTTAAGGTAGACTATGGAGAATGGTTTCTCATAAGCATGGATATCATAAAAGGGTGTATCTCCACCCTCTTTTCTATCTGTATATAAAATATATGCAGAAAACTAGATTAGATTCAGATAAAGGAGGAATGAAAATTGATAGAAATAGCAATAATTTGGACTATATAGATGCAGAAAGTGGTGATTACTAGAAATGGCTACAGATGAATGAAAAAGAAGAAATTGCAAAAGCAGTTGAATGTTAACATTAGAATAATGATGACAGGCATATTAAAATAATGATGGCTTTACTTTAATGTTAACAGCAAAGGAATTTGTATACTTTGGTTCAGTCATCAATCCAAATGGAGACTGCAGCCAAGAAATCAGAAGATTGAGAATCAAGAAGGATGACTATACTGTGGTGTTACTAATGTACATATGAAGAAAGGCAGTAGAGCCTTACACTTACCATGAACCATTAAAAAAGAGTATGTGCTGCATCAAATCAAGCCTAAATTCTCTGAAAGCAAAAATGTCTAAACTGAGATTATCATATTTTGTATCAGGTGAAGACAAGGCTAGAAATGACAGTAATACTGGGGAAAGTTGAAGACAGCAGGAAGGGAAGACGACCAAATAAGAGATGCATTGACCCAAAAAAATGCAGAACCTCAAGGGTTATTAATAACAGGACCATTTAGAGGCCACTCTTTTGTAGAGTTGCGACAAATCATATACAGTATAACAGTATAACACCAGAAAAAGTTGATAAGCAAAATGTATATTTAATACAGCTCTTTCTCCAGATTATATGTATATATAATCTGGAGAAAGAGCTGGTGGATACACATGCTTAGGCCCACAGTGCTATTTGGAAGAAGGCGGAGAGTTCACCACAAGCATCATAATTTGTGGGTAGTTTTTTAATTCAAAGTTTATAATTATTATTTATAAAGTCTATCCATGCTTGTTTAACATCGGGTCCCCCGGGTTCTGCTTATAATCATTTGTTAATACAGCTTAAATACATATTAAGTCCTTTGGCTATACAGTGTGCTTCTAGCCATTGATAAAACAGATTCCAAGTTTGATAGTACAGTATTCTGGATCTTCCTTTCCTTTGATTTTTAATGTCAATCTGTTCATTTCTGTGCAGTCCAGTAACTTTTTGATTATTTCTTCATCTGGAGGTGCTTCTTCATTCTTCCAGTACTGTGCAAATATAATCCTTGCAGCTGTTAAAATATGTAGTATTAAATATACATTTTGCTTATCAACTTTTTCTGGCATTATACTGTGACACACCCCTATTTCCCCTGTTTGTTCTTCCACACAACCCAGGTTCACTTTCGGGTATGACATTTACTTTTCAACCCTTTTCGCTGCCACCAGAGGATTTATTCCTCTCTATTAAATATGACTCTTAAATCAGTGTTATTCAATAAAACAATGTTTATTTAAGTGTTTATAAATAAATCATATAAAGTAAATCATGGATGGTCTTATTTTATTCATTCAGTAAACTGCTTTGATAACATTTATATTTGCTTATGTATAATCATGTTAATCAAGGTATTTGTTCATTTCTTATCTTGTTCTCTATCTCTCTATTCTTCTCTAACACAATGCTGGTCCTAACTGCCTAAACTGCTTCTCTCAAACTAATATCCTTAACTGAAGTCCCTAACTCTAACTCATATCCCTAACTCATCCCTAACTGATCTTTAACTGTCTTCCATTCCGCTTATATTTCCTTAGTTCTGCCTCTTCTGTTCAACCATTGGTTGATATATCAAGGTTCCATTGTGATGGATAGGAGTAGTTACTGACCTGTCCGTCACATACCTAATAGAAAGAATTCTGGCTTAAAATCTACATGTTTTTTTAATTATTTTAACAAGCCATATATGTATTTTTACCCAAAGCTTTTTTGCTTTATCACATGTCCACCAAAGGTGATGGTAAGTTCCAGTTTTTTAATGAAATTTCCAGCATTTACTTGACTGATTAGAAACCATTTTGGTTAGTTTATCAGGTGGTAAATGCCATCTATAGAACATTTTATATAAGTTCTCTATAAGATGATGCCATTGTCATTTTATAGTTTGTGGGTATTTTTGTTGCAGAGGCCAGGGGGAAGGGTTTGAAATTTCTCGTGTACCTCCCACAAGCCCTGGCAGCAACATAAGGACCAGAAAATTTGTTGATTATTAATATATTTAATTTCTGGTGCTTGTTCACTATGGGGCAATATAAAAATATAATAAATACATAAATAAATTACTGTAGCTGCTTGGTGCATTTTGTTACCAGCCTAGCCCTAAAGAACCATTTCCCCGCTGCTTTTAGTTGCTACTTTACTTGGTCGGCCAATTTACAGCTTGATTCTGAGCCCATTTGCCTGGATTCCTCTCAAGCACATTTCTCTAATGATCAGACACAGAAACAATTCTTCTGGACCACGATCCAACAAAAAGTCATTCTTGTTTTCTCTTAAGATGGAGTGGCAACTAATGCTTCAAATGATATTGGATTACAAGTCCCATGATTCCAGCACAAGCAATGGTGAGATGAGAGTTACAATCCACCATCTGAAGAGCCACAGTTGCCTACATCTGTGTAACGGGCTTGGTGATCCACTGTGCAAGGATAGTGAATGTGGCTGCAAGGTTTAGTTACTTAATTGTTTAATTGGTTTAATTGTTTCTTATTTGTTAAAAAATTATCTCAAGTTAATCTGACATTAGATTTTTTTTTTAAATATTACCACGAATGCTCATTAGGTACGATCTTATTTCAGGACAAACTTTATTGATGTTGCATGCAACTCTCTTTTCCAACAAGGAATTTCCCAAAAGCTTTCGAGAGAAGGATTTCAGTTACAATCAAAGCAAGAAAATAAAACGTTTGATTCTGCCTCTTTGCCTGCTCTGACCTCACACACACAATCCTTCAGCTAATGCAATACGGATATAAAAGATCTGCACTATTGTGTTCTTAAAATCCTATCAGGTATAATTTGGCTCTTAAAATAGACATTCACCCTACTTTCACAGTAGAAATGCCTTTTCCAAGTTGGTTCTTGCTCCTCTCATCTCATGGGGTGACAATGGCTGTTTCTATATAATCTGAAAGCAGATGTTTTTAATTCAGAACTCATGGCCTGAGCTAGACCTTCCTTCCTTCCTTCCTTCCTTCCTTCTGCTTGCTTGCTTGCTTGCTTGCTTGCTTGCTTGCTTGCTTGCTTGCTTGCTTGCTTGCTTGCTTGCTTGCTTGCTTGCTTGCTTGCTTGCTTGCTTGCTTGCTTGCTTGCTTGCTTGCTTGCTTGCTTGCTTGCTTGCTTGCTTGCTTATCCCAGGAATAATTAAAAAGAAAATATTTAAAAGCTAAAACAATAAGTATATAAATATTTAAAAGTTTAAGAAATAATTAAACAAGTACTGTATATTAAAAACAGCAAGTGAAACAATACTAAAACACATTTAAAACAACAGTTTTAACAGAGCACAACAGTCCATTTTAAAAAAACCCTCAGACCACCAGTCATTAAGGAAAAGCCTGCCTGCAGAAGGACAGCAAAAATGGGGCCAGCCTAGCTTCCTATGGGAGGGGGTTTCAGTGTCTGGGAGCAGCAACAAAGAAGGTCCTCTCCCATGTCCCCACCAAGCATGCCTGTGAGGGTAGTGGGACTGAGAAAGAGCCCTCTCCTGATTATCTTATACGAGACTTTCATGCCCTCCCATCTACCAACTCTCTCACCCACCCAAAAACCTATTCCAGGGAGATGATCATTCCTCTTTAGGTTTTGAAGAATGAAGGTGGCAGCCAGGACAAGGGAAAGCTATCCTCTTTCAGGTTCTACCAATAGTAGGCGCTCCACAGTGCAGCATACCCCTGGGGCCTCAGTCATTGTTTTTCACTATTTGAGTGTATGCAGATTTACATGATGACTCAAATCGATTAAAATCTATGTAATCATCTAAAATTTTCATCTGTCTTTGTATCAGCAGCACCACGATACAATTAATAAATATATCAGACAATTTTGCCCAATATCAGGCAACACCTAGAGCAATTGGGACATATAACATCAAATCTTCCATAGTGTATTTTGAAGAACACAGTACACTGACATAGCTTGTAGTAAATGAGTGATAGCTCTTGGAATTATTAAGTAACTTATTATTTTTTAAACCTAATTATCAATTAACTAAAACAATTATCAGAAGAAAGCTATATATCTACCACATGTAGTTATCTTTCAGTCTCCATGGTTGACAAAAGCCAGCTTTT